ATGGGCTACATAAGGAGATAAGGAGAGAAGGAATGAGAGGGAGATGAGGCCTGGGGTCTTAGGCACTGCCTGTTATGGAAGGAACAGGTGCAGAGTAGAGACCAAAGGTCAGCTGCCTACATCCCTGCTCCTTCTCTTACATCCTGCTTTTACTTCCACATCCCCAAACCTAGGCCCACTATACCTGAGAGGTGTCCTGGTGGTCCTGTGGAGGCAACACACCTCCCTTTGAGGCAGCTCATGAAGGATGGAGGTAGGGGCTGGTGAAGTCCCCAGTGCCTCCCAAGGACCACATCTGGATGCACCTCTTCCAACAGTCTGGAGCCTGCTTCTCCATTGGTTTTAGGCTCCATCTTCCACTCCCTCACCCTCCACCCCCCCTTTTTTTTTTAATGTTCTAAAGGCCAGTGGAAGTACACTTTATTATTTTTTTTTGGTGTTACTGGGGTTTGAACTCAGGGCCTCCCACTTGGAAAGCAGGCACTTACCACTTGAGCCACTTTTTTTTAAGGCAGGGTCTCACTATGTATCCAAGGTGGCCTGGAATTTGCTATGTAGCCCTGGCTGGCCTTGAGTGCTGGGCTGGCAGGCTACCACGCCCAGCCCTACCTTTTACTTCTTGGATACAGGTCCTTGGCCCTGCCCAGTCTTTGAACTTGGCTCTGTTCTCACATCCTGGTTTTAGACCCAGATCCACCACCACTGGCAACTGTCAGCTCTTGGGAGCTCCTTGCTGGCAGCTTCTTGCTGCCTCTGCTGTCGCCAGTCCACCACCACCTACTTGCTCTGCTGGAATCGATCTTGGAGAGCCAAACCCTGTCTCCCTGAGTCACAAGTGAAAAATTAAATCAATTTATCTAAATACTTCTGAGTCAGGGTGGGCGTGGTGGTATATGCCTGTAATCACAGCTACTCAGGAAGCAGAGAAAGGAGGACTGACAATTTGAGGCCAGCCCAGGCAAAGGTAGCAAGACCTTATCTCAAAAACAAAATACCGGAGGCATAGGTACCAAGTGAGAAGCCTTGAGTTCAAATCCTACACCTCCAAAAAGAATGAAATGGCTAGGCGGATGGCTAAATTGGTAGAGAACTTGTAAACATAAGGCTCTGGGTTCAGTTTCCAGCTCCATAAAACAATATGATTCTATTTAAAAATATACGTCCACAATTTCCAATATCCTAGAGCCTAGAGAAAAAAAATCAAACTCCTGTGCAAGGCAGAATAAGGGTTTTTTGTTTTGGTGGTACTGGGGTTTGAATTCAGGGCCTACATGCTTGCTAGGTAGGTGCACTATCTTTTTTGTTTGTTTTGCAGTTTGGGGTTGGAACCCAGGGCCTTGTGCATACTAAGCAAGTGTTCTACCACTGAGCTACATCCCCAGTCCTTGTTATTTTGAGATAGGATCTCACTAAGTAGCCCAGGCTGACCTGGAACTCACGATTGTCCTGCCTCAGCCTCCCCAGTGCTGGGATTACAGGTGTGAAGCACCATACCTGACACAATGACCATCTTTCTAACTGCCCACTTTAGTTCTAGGGATCTAAATGACTGCACTTGAGGTAGACTTTTCAGGGGTTGAAAAGAAGGAAAGTTAGCATATGTACATGTAACTAATCCAAATTTTTAGCCCAGGACTGTATTTTAGCCCACTGTAAGGTACAAGACCATCAGTACATGTGGATGTGTGGGACAGGGTGAGGAAGATGTCCATGTATTTCTGTATTTTTATATACAATGAAGAACAGACAAAACAAATCTCTGGTAATACAAATCAAGAAATAGCTGTCTTGAAAGCATGCTGGAAAGGACCCTGAGGGAACTTTCTAGAATAATGTTTTATGGTTCATGTAGAGTGGGGGTGGCCAGGCATGGTGGTGCACACCTGTAATCTCGACTACTCAGGAGGTGGAGGTAGGAGGATGTGGTCCAAGGCTGGCCTAGGCAAAAGCATGGGATCTTATCTGAAAAACTGAAAGCAAAAGGGCTAGGGGTATGGCTTAAGTGGCTTAAGTTTGCCTAGTAAGCGTGGACCCTGGAGAGTTCAATCTCTGAAAACAACAAAGTGGGAACAAAGATGCAATGCTACTTGATGGCTGCATTCTGCCTCATGATTGCCCATGGCCTAATCATTCAGTGAGTTACACATGCGAAGCACAAAGCCTACCTTTGATACAGCAGCTGTTAAGGGAGTGAATAACTGAGTTTTACAATGAGGCAGGTAGCAGATGAATGTGAGGCTTTTTCGACATCAAGTTGTTTGGATGGCCCAGGTAGAGGAGCCGCGAGCTAGTGAGCTCCTCTGCGGAGTTGCTGATGACGAGAGGGACACCAAGGGAACTGAATGCAGGTGTGGCAACGAGCCTGAGCACCTATGATTCCAGGCTCTCTCTCATGGCCTGAACTCTCCCTTCTGTAGGGTCTCTTGAGTTTCAATCCCACATTTCTTCATGCAGTAACTCTCCCATCTGCCCACTGGTATTTCTCTCTGGACAACTCACCACCCCTCCCAGCTCAGCCCATTTAAAATGGAGCTCCAGCCAGATCTCCTTCCACATAACTCGATTTTCTGTTCTGTGTACATATACTTCTCCCAGACCAATTCTCCATGTCCCTTTCATTCACTCTTCAAACCCAGATAAGCGCAAACTCTTATCCATTCTACCCTGAGACCTGCCCCAGAATGGCCCACCTTGTCCATTTCTATGGCCACCACCATCACTCAGATCTTCACCTTCTCACTGTACAATCTCTCCTAAACAACGTCCCTGCCCTGTTTAATCCTTAACATGTGAAGTCAGTCTAATTTCCCTGAACACAATCTGATGGCCTCATAAAAGCCTTTGCTAGACGCTTTTTTCCCAAGGAATATAATACAAGCTTCTCAGCTAACATTCAAACCTGAGTTTTCCAACCTTATCTAAAAGCACTCAACTCTCCCAATCACTAAGGCCCCTCTTAGACCAGTCACAAGTAGGTCAATAAAGACAGCAAAAGACATAGCTCTGACCCCAAGGTAATCTTGTTGTAGTGGAAGATAAAAAGTTAAATTACCAGAGAACACAATTAGTGCTAAGATTCAGGACACTGTTTGTCCTAATGTTCCCTGAATGCTTTCCTACCTCCAGCTTTCCCCCAGGACCCTTCCATCCTCTGGTCTGCACACTTCCCACCGTTAAAGGTCCAGCTCCTTCAGCTCTACTTTGAGAGCTCCAATTTCCTGGCAAAGGCTCTCTCCTTCCTCTGGGTTCAATGTTCCCACTGAGTACCACCCACTCTTCTCAGCTTAGATGGCTCATCTTCCAAAGGGTCCCTCACACTTCTTCCACCTCCTGTGTCCCCACAGCACACCATCAGTTCTCCAACTGCCACCCCCTACGGATGCCTGAGATTTACCTGTCCCTCCCACGAGACTGTGAGCTCCTTGAATGCAGAACATATGTGGATCTCTTTCACAGAACACCCAACTCCAAAACTGCAACAATACATCTTAGTGGCTCATCAAATTAGTGGAGGAGAAGGAAGAAAGAGTAAGACAGCCATCATGAACTCCCTTGTGATGCTCTGTTCTTTAGCACATGTGCTCGTTCCACTCCTGCTTCCCCCACCACTGTCCCCAGGCAGACTGTCATTGGTCCATCTGGGCTTTCCATTTCTCCATCTAGGCAGCAACCTATAGCACATTTATCTGCCCCCACTTTTTTATTTTTTCATCTCCTGCAGTATTTATTTATTTATTTTTGGTGGTACTGAGGGTTGAACTCAGTGCTTCCCACTTGCTAAACAGGTGCTCCATCACTTGAGTCACTCTGCCAGTCCTTTTCTTGAGACAAGGTCTTGCTGGCCAGGCTGGCCTTGAACTCATGATCATCCTACCCCGGTGAGACCACAGGCCACCACACCCTAAACTCTGAACTCCACACTGGGGATTAAACTCAGGGCCACAGCTGTACACTTGAGCTACGCCCCCAGTCTTTTTAGTATTAGTTTTTCAGATAGGGTCTCCAAACGTGATCCCTCCTCCTACCTCCGTCTCCTGTGTGCACCACCAACCTCTGGCTAACTCTGAACTTTTAAGGGAAAGGACGGTATCTGAGAAATCTCTATATGCCCAAAATATAGTGGGGAGGAGGTGAACCTTATAATTAAGAACTTTAAATGACAGGGCTGGTGGAGTGGCTCAAGGGGTAGAACGCCTGCCCACCAAGTATGAGGCCCTGAGTTCAAATCCCAGTACCACCAAAAAACAAAACAAAGAAACCTCGAAAATTTTAAATAAAGGGCTAGGAACCCTAGCTCTACTTTGAGCTGACTCTTGAGCAAATCTACGTAAGTTCTGCCACGCGCCTTCCCTGTAAGTCAGAAAAGTGGGACCGTGTTCACAGCACTACTTGGCGGAGCGGGCAGGGCTGGACGGTCGGGCGGCGAGTCAAGGTCTTCAAACCCATGTCCTCCTCCGTAACACTAGACTGTTGTAATCGTGCATGCTAGTAAGACTTAAGTCTTGTACTTGCTATTAGCGGTAGGGTGTCTGAAAAGCTTTGTAAATTGTAACGTAAGGGTCTGTGCAACTTAAAGGACAATGGCACTGGCGGGTGCACGCTCGCAACTGATGACGCCCCGCCCCAGGACTCAGCTTCCCCTCCCCCACTTTCCCATCCTTTCTGAAGTTCAGACCCCCTCCCGCGGTTGGTTGAGGACGTGGGCTTGGGTCTGGGATCCACTGCGCCTGCGACCTCAGCGAGGCTCCCTGTAAGGACCTCTGTCTAGAGCCCCACCTGGAAAATGGCTACCGTAAGGAGCTTTCAGCCTAAAGCCAGTTCTTTCCGCCTTTGGGGCGCAGATTCTTCCTCCCACTCAGACCGCGGCTTCCCCACCCGCCAGCACCAACCCGGACGAAAGACTGGAGCCAGCCAGACAGGCGCCGGGTTACCAGCAGACTCTCAGCACCTTACTACCCCAGAGCCCGGAAGTGACCATCCTATCGCGAGATCAGAGAGGTGGGCGTGACCGGAAGGCGGGTCGCTCTCGCGAGACCAGGCGAAGAGGAGCCGGGCTGCACTGCGCAGTGTGGAGGTCGTTGGAGTCACTTGTGCATTGCCAGCTTCTTCTCCTGCAGGTCCGCGCCCCGCCCGCCCCAGCCATGTTCTTCGCCTTCGCCCGGCCTGCTGGCGCCGCTCTCCGCCGTAGTTTCAGCACCTCGACCCAGGTAGGCCCGACTAAGGGCATCCTGCAGGCGAGAATCCCCCGGCCCGGGCCATGTGCGTCCCGAACTTGACCGCGTCCCCCATGGCCAGCCTGGACAGCAGGGCCGGCTGGCTCTGGCTGGAGGTTATGGCGCACTTTGGCAGCTCTAACGCCATGCAAGAAGTGCAGGGAAAGCCAGGGAGAGGAGCGAGGTGGCCTCGCTTCAGGGAGGGAGCGCTTTACCGAGTCCCGTCTCCCCGCCCCACCCAGCTCGTGGTCCAGAGGGTCTGCTCTCGTCCCTCCAGGATGAGGAGCCAAGTCCTTCGGTCCGGAAGTTACTTACATGTTTATGCAACTTTATTGCTTTGACAGCTCTGCTTTCCTTGCAGCATCCGTGAGAGCTGTGCGTGAGTAGGAGAAATGTGTAATACTAACTTCGTAGTACAGGCAGGCTGAGGCTTCCAAGCAGTACAGCTGGGCCAAGGTTAAGGTACTTTGGCCAGCGCTTCTGACCACTGACTGCCAGTGTGGCCTTCCCTCTAAGAGCCTCACGATCCTTTGTCCTCTTTTTAAGAACCTTTCTGAGGATCCTCCCTGCCTTGAGTGGATTGGGCCTGACCCCGGACGTTTTGACAGTGCATGACTTGGCCTAAGAGCACTTAAGCCTAAGCTATTTTTAGCCATCTTCTAGTTTTCAAACTTTGGGTGTCAGAACCACCTGAGACCAATAAAGAACAGCCCAGGTTCATTACAGGAGGCTAGGACAGGGCCTCTGTAGTCTTATTACATGTCCCCAGTGACTCTAATGACCTAGGTTTGAGAACTCACTAGGTGCTTTCATTGCCTCTTAAGTACCATGTCCAAATGGGAAGTGATTATTAAAGGAGACTCCACATTGCTAATCAATTTAGCTTATGACCTTCAGTTTCCTGTACAGTCTGATCAGTTGAAAAATAAGATATGAGTAAGTATATTGAGTATCTTTGCTTGCCCTCAACTGTGCTGTCTGCAGCAAGGAATGCCACGGTGAGTGAGAAGCAGCACTGGACCAGAAGCCAGTTAACTTAAGACAGGTGGAGGTGATGAGGAATAATGGTAGGGCAGATGAGCAAAGGTAAGATTGGGGGGTGAGGAGGTGTTGTCACTTTTCTTTTGCAATGCTGAGGGCTGCAAGCATGAGCTGCAAGCCCAGTCTCAAGTGGTTGAATTCTGGTGGCATTGCACCTAGGCCCTTAAAATACAAACACAAACTATATTTTATTGTCTCTTTTCTCCATTATAAAGTATCTTAGCGAGGAGCACAGAAGTAGGGGGAAGAGAGTTTCAATTTAACATCCGTCAGGGAATGTGACATTACAGTCTAGAAGAAAGCAGAGCTTACGTCATAGAGAAAGAGAATTTCAGGGGCTAGGGTGTAGCTCAGTGGTGCTTGTCTAGCATGTACAAGGTCCTGGGTTCTATCCCCAGCACCAAAAAAGACAAAAAAAAAAAAAAAGTATTTCAGGCAGAGAGTGGGAGTGGGGCAGGCATACCTGGAGTGTTTGAGAATATGAAGAGAGGGTGGTGGAGGGAATGAAGCAGGACTTGGTAAACCTTGGGCATTTTCCCAGAAATGGAGCAGCCAGTCTGACATGGTGGTACACACCTGTAATCCTAGCACTCGGTACACTGAGGCAGGAACATTGTGAGTTTGAGGCCAGCCAAAGCAACACAGACCCTGTTAAAAAGGAAAAAAAGAAAGAAAGAAATTGGGACTTGAGTATAATGACTTGGCCTTACTCCCATTTTAACAAAATGGTCTTAGGTCAGGAAGAAAGATAGGTGGGGTCTGTTGTGGCGATCTGAGTGACAGCTGTATTGGATTCTGCGTATTTTTGCCTGGAGAGCCAGCAGAGTTGCTGATAATGATCAGATGAGGGGTAGAGAAAGAGAAGTCATGGCTGACGGCAAGGTTTAGACCTTAGAGTTGGTATTTGCTGAGATGGCAGCCACTTCTGGAAGACAGCGATTTGGGCAGGGGAAGAGCCAGCAGCTTTGTAGGGTTTGCTTGCTGTTTGTTGGTGTACTGGGGTTTGAACTTGGGGCATCATGTTGTTGCTAGAGGCGCTCTACTGCTTAGCAACTCAGTTTAGACTTTAAAATGCCACTTGAAAAAAAAAAACTAAAATGGTAGGGTGTCATCCAAGTGGAGATATGAGAAGAGTTAAATAAGTCAGAAAGGTGGTTCTTTGGATCCTCTGTTCCCAAGAAAAGAAATGTATGAAGCTGCATCCTCCTGCTTCTGCCTCCAAATAGTTCTGAGATTACAGATGTTACCACCATACCCCCAACCTATGTTTCTTATTGTTAGGTGCTTTACCACTTGAGCCGCTCTGCCAGCCCCTTTTTTGGTGATTTTTGAGATAGGGTCTCACTTTATGCCTGGACTTCAATCCCATTTGTGCTTCCCCTTGTAGCTGTAATGACAGATGTGCTCCACCACGCCCAGCCATTAGTTGAGAAGGGGGCTGGCAAACTTTTTGCCCAGCTGGCCTGGAACTGCTGTCTTTGCCTCCCAGGTAGCTAGGATTTAGGCTTGAGCCACTGTGTCTGGCAAAAAAAACCTCACAAATATTGATCTTTTCATCCTTTATCCCCCTTGCAATGGCTTGGGCCACTGTCCATCAGCCTCAGAAGCTAGACTGAGTAAGCAAGCCATGAGAAGTGCTTCTAAGGATCTTTGAGCAAGGCAGTGAAATGGTGAAGGTTTGGTTGTTAGGAGGGACGATCTGGAGATATGGTGGCTCTGAAGGTTGGTTCTAGAAGTTTGATTGGCAGAACACAAGTGCCACTTGAGAATAGGGAGGAATAAGCAGGGTAAATAGACAGTGGGGCCAGTGAAGTACTGAACAAACCACAGAGTTGGGACCCACGTAAGGTGTTCAACACCTGTAGTCCCAGCTACTCTGGAAGCTTGAACCCAGGAGTTTGAGGCCAGCCTCCCTCAGAACTGCAGAGTTGGGATGTGGGAAGCAAGATGCGATTGTGATAGAGGAAGATCCCAAAGTGAGATTTCCAGACCTCTGGTTCTATGTTGGTTGGGACTAGTTTCATTAGGTCAAGGATCAACCTTTAAAACATCATTGAAAAACAAAACAACAGACAAAACCTGTTTGAGTTCAAATCATGGTTGTAGGATATGCTTAGGGAGTTGACTTCCCAAGCAGAAATAGGCTGGGTAAGTTGTTTCGGTTCAGTTTTGGTCTTGGTTTGATAACAAGCCTGTTATTAAACAGTATCAGTTACTGTGAAACATATAGTCTCTGCAGATCCAGCCAATCTCAAATCGAAAATACTCAAAAAGGAAAAATACTACTTCACTGAACACATACCAGCATTTTCTTGTCATTCCCTGAACAGTACTGATAGCTATTTGCATAGCATTTGCATTGAATTAGATATTACAGGTAATGTAGACATGATATGTGGGAGGGTTATGTGAGTTAGATAAACAGTCCTGGCGAATTTGGTGTCCTGGTACCAGTTCCTCACAGACACAGAGGGATGACTATACTTCTAGCTCTTTCCCCCTCCGTCATAACATATCTGGTTAACTTGTCCCCACAGAGCCAGCAAGGGTCTTCATTCCTGCACCCCACGTGCAATGGCAGGCCTATTGCTAGAAGCTGTGTAAATGTTGGTTTTCAGTTTTAAAGCTGCAGATTGAAAGGAGGGCTGCTGTTATCAGTCCAGCTGCCCAGCTGGACAAAGCTGCTATTTTATGTTCCAGGAGGGTGTTTGGAGTTTGACCCGAATATCACAACCTCACTCCACCTAAGTTCTCCCCACTGAAAGCAGACCTTTGGAATGAAGGTCCAGAACTCCAGCATAGTAAAGCTGGTGGCAGTGTGACAGTATCTTGCTTTGACACTTCTTAAGCCCACGGCCATGTTTTGTGGGATGCCACATAGGTCATTTCTGTCCTGAGAGTTTTCTCTGTGCCTCTTTTTAGAACAGTGCTAAAGTAGCCGTGCTTGGGGCTTCAGGAGGAATCGGACAGCCCCTTTCACTCCTTCTGAAGAACAGCCCCTTAGTGAGCCGCTTGACCCTCTACGATATCGCCCACACACCTGGGGTTGCTGCAGACCTGAGCCACATCGAGACCAGAGCGAAAGTGAAAGGTACTGGGTATGCCCACCCTGAAGACTGCTGTCTGCCCAGCAGAACAGGATCTGAGTTCTGCATCTTAGATGACGCTAGATCTTCAGAGCCTCAGAGGGGTAGTCGTGTTCATTTTAGAAGTAAATTTTACAGAAAACTATACTGTTTTGAACTTGGGTCTGCAAATATTTAAGCAGCAGTGTCTTAGAAAGACAAGGTGGCCCAATGTTGATCTTTCCCTTCTTTTTCTAATTTGAACAGTAGCACGAGGAAGAAAGATAAGTGTCAGGATAATAAGAGGTGCAGCTGCCTAGCACACTGTGGTTCTGTCCCTCCCGTGGCCAGTGTCCCCAAACCATGGCCACCTGGGGGAGATCTGCCCTTCCTCAGAAGGCAATGCCTAGAACATAGGCAACTCATCCGCAAGTCCACGTAACACAGCATGCTTATTTGACCTTCATGGTCAAATAGCAACAGTATTTCATATCACCAAATTCTTGGTGATGTCATTTTTAAGACTGTTCTGTAATTTGTCATTTAGTTACTGTGCCCACACTCTTGGCATTGGGCTGTTGTAAGTCAAGGTAAATATGTCTTTGCATCGTGTTTCTTAGCGGAAAGTGGAGTCTGTGGGTATAAGCGTGTCAAAGCTTGTACTGTGAAAGGCCACATTGTTGTCCAGGCTGGTGAATGGCTAGGTTTGGCTTTGTGGAAATCGGGAGGGCTCCTCCCTCCTGATCTGGGCAGTCCTGCCCAGATTTTGTCCTCCAGAGGCCTTCTGTGGGTCAGAAAGGGTGACATGGCTCTGTGGGGTGCTTATTCTAGGCTACCTGGGACCTGAACAGCTTCCAGACTGCCTGAAGGGATGTGACGTTGTGGTGATTCCAGCTGGAGTCCCCAGAAAGCCAGGTGCGTGTTGGAAAGCTTTGCCTGGGTCTCCTTACACGTGAACCGAGAAAGGAGTTGTCTGCTGAGCACGGATTTCACCCCATCTCTCCCTCCACTAGGTTCCCATTGTATCTGCTGGCCTGGTGTTTAATGCCCAGAAGTGTCACTATGTCTCTCCCTTGCTCCATGTCCCACTGGTCCCCCATCATACCTGGAATGTCCTTTCCTCACCCCGCTCCACCATGGGATGATCCTTCTCAGCCACCTCCACCTCCTCTAGCCTCCCACAGACCTCTCTCTGGCACTTGCCACACCGCATCATTTTCCCTGCAAGACAGATTTACTTGACTGGGCCTGTCCCTGCTTGTGTTGAATTTTCTGTATTAACACCAGCCCTGGGACCTATTTGGTGCCCTGACCACGTTCCTTGTGAAGGAGCATTTTTCTGGGTCATTGCAGGCATGACACGGGATGACCTGTTCAACACCAACGCCACAATTGTGGCTACCCTGACCACCGCCTGCGCCCAGCATTGCCCTGAAGCCATGATCTGTATCATTTCCAACCCGGTGAGTGCAAGTGGGCCCAGCAGACAAGTGTGTCACTGTAGATCGTGTGTGATGGACACAGTGAATACTCTTAAGAGGTCCTGGCGTTTATTTCCTTCTAGCCCAAACTTCTTCCACCAGCTCACTGCATTTGGGCAGGTCACCTCCTGTGTCTTAGCTCCCCCACCTGGAAAATAGTTCATTTTTCTTTTTTGAAGACATGGTCCCACCAAAGAACCCAGGGTGGCCTTGAACTTGAGGTCCTGCCCCAGCCTCCCAAGTGCTGAGATTGCAGGCAGGCACCACACACTTAACTAAAATGACCTTTTTTCACCTGTGATTGTTGTGTTCTACTTAGGGTTTGTACCTCCAGAGTCTCTACTCACCCCATCTCTCCACCGTTAGACACGTAATCTCTGGTGCCCGGCCCTGCACAGAACACCCGGGGGAGACGGGTGGTCCCCGGGCCTGACCTGGCAGAGCTTCAGGTTGTACTTAACAGCAGTCCTCTGCATCCTTCCCTTCTGGCTGCCTCTGGGTCCTGGTGTGATAAGGGTCTGTGGGACAGTGCAGCCACAGGGACTGAGGGACAGCTCCTAATACACACCCCGAGCTTGTGCTCCTGGCCTCAGAAGAGCAGGTCCTGCCATCCCCCACTCGCTCACCTTACTTGGCGGATGGCGGCAATTTCTTTTGCTGGAAGATAACGTGTCTAATACAGGCCTTGCTCTTTTATTCTCTTCTTTCTCTATGTACTGGGTTATGTGTTAAGTACTTACTATGTTGTCATTTTGCCTTCACAATACCTCATGAAGTACTTGTCATTTTCACCAATTTATAGTTGAAAAACTGAGTTCTAGGGAGTTTAGGTGACTTGCCCAGGGTCACAACATGGGACAGAGCTGGGGTTTGACTCTAGCTCATCTGCTTTTAATAAGCTCCAGCCAACTGGGGGAGCAGGATTGGCAAGCCCCACACTGTCCTGTGCAAGGTGACAGGCTCAGGCAGGTCTGTGCTGGTGGCCTCATCCCCACCCATAGAGGCACTGGCATGGTCCCAGCTCATGTACCCAAGAAGCTCTACTGATGGCCACTATCAATGCCTGCTCTACGTCAGCCAGGTAGTGAGACAGCCTCTGGTGGGGGGGTGCTCATCTCAAGTCAGGACACCAACCTTCCCCTGACTTCTCCAGCCAAAGCCACCTTTGATGCCATCTCTAAGATCTGTAGCTACCTGACCTCCGACCTCTGGAAAGATATGGTCTCTATCAAGTGTCCTTATAAGGAGTTCACCAACTACCTTATAAAAACCTATGCCACAGTCTGCACTCAGATGACCCAGGCTAGAGCATAGGGGTTTTTTTATATAAGAGAAGTAAAGTGATTTAAAAACCTGTTCCACATCACATGTCTACGCTGAAGTCTTCCATGGTGTGGTCCTGCCTGCCTTACAGATGGCTTACCTATATGCAGAGTTGTCAGCACGGTTGGATCGGCGCCTTCAGACCTGCTGGCAGTCTAACAAAAAGACCTTTTCCTTATGTTGCTCGGCTCAGCTCTGCTCAAGTGATGCCTGTGTCTCGGGTTTCCTAGGTCAACTCCACCATCCCCATCACAGCAGAAGTGTTCAAGAAGCATGGCGTCTACAACCCCAACAAGATCTTCGGTGTGACCACCCTGGACATTGTCAGAGCCAACACTTTTGTAGCAGAGCTGAAGGTGAGGATTTCATGAGTGTCATTAGCATTACCTGTCTAGACTTACTCAGTGACCCTTTCCATTTACAGCACAGATGACAGGACCCTTGGACTTGGGGCATTGAATGTTTTTATAGCTTGCCCTCAGTGGGTCCTGCCTTTTCTTGGGGAATCCATGCAGCAGGTCTCTGGCCAGCTGCTGTCTTCTCAGCTCCCTCCACCCTGGGATCCTTAGTGGCCAAACTTGGATTGCACTCCCTTGCTTCCCTGTTCCCCCATTAGCATTGTCCCTGGGAACAAGCACTGCCGTGATTCACCTGCTAGTCTTTAGACAAAAGGTAATAAAATCAGCAAACATGAAGGATTTAGGAAAGTTCCAGAACTGTCATTGCAGGCCTCTGGTTCTGACTCCCTTTCTTGGTCACCTGTGGTAGCTTGTCTTGAGGTAGATTTGGCTGGCATCAGCACTTAGTCTGGAGTCCCTGGTACCTTTCACAGTCTGCTCTTGAATCACTTTGGTGGTAGATCTAAGGGAGCCACTTCCTCTGGACCCAAAAGGTGTCATTTTGTTCTGACTTTGAGGAGAACCTCTCAGAAGCAGGGAGCATGTTGCCCTGCACAAACGTGGTGGCAGGTGCCCACACAGGATGAACCCTTGTCTCTTGTGCACTAGACAGACCTAATCCTGAACTACCAGGCAGAGCCACACTTGACTCACTCTCCAGCTCTCAAGTGAGGCCTGTTCTAGGTGTTGGGCTCTTGGAGATCATTCAGACATGGCCCCAGGCCTCAGAAGCTCCAGGCAGTGCAGGGGCAAGAGATGACTTAATTCAAACAGCCAGTTCTGTGCAGGTGTCTGGAGAGTAGTGGAACCCACAGGGAAGGATAGGACAGTGAAAGCTCAGAGACCAGCATCCAAGCATCTTCATAGGCTTTTGTGGTACCTGCAGCTCTCCAGAGCTGACAGCCATTTCCCCCAGGGCCCGGTCATACACTGCTGCACAGTGGCCACTGGCTGCCTTTGGCTGTTTGAGTTAACTAAAACTCTGTCCTCTGTCACTCCAGCCGCATTGCAGGTGCGATCGCCACAGGTGGCTCCTGAGTTCTCAACAACAGTTTCTGTTAGGCAGAGCTGTCTCAGGCTAGAATCGTGTGACTGTTTGGGTTGGGGACAGGGGATCTTGGCCTTTGCAGAGAAGCTTAGTGACCCAAAAGCTTCAGTGGAGGGAACTGCCTGTCGCTCAGGTTCACTTGGCATTCTGGGAAATTCCGCAATTGTGTCAAGAATGAGGACTGATGAGCCTTTAAGCTTCCAGCGCCTGGTTCTTCCCTGGACCCTCTTGGTGGTCTTCAGCCCCCTTTGCTGCTACTGCTTTTGCCTTGACTCACGCACCTCCTGCCATTTTTGTCTTATGCCCTACTGCACTGTGTTTTTGAGTCCTTCCAGTTTAGAGTCTTCCCTGCTGACCACTCCTACTACTTCCTGCCTGGTTAAGAGTTGCCTTTACTTCAGAGCCATCCTAGGGCCACTGTCTTAACACAGGGCACTGAGACTTTGTTGATCCTTTGTATTACAAGGGCAATTCAAACCAGACTGTCTGATTGTTTCTGGTGATCATGCAGTGCTCACTAGGTGATCTCTTGTTCTTTGTCTGCCTGCTGCATCTTGGCTGCCCCCTGGAGGTGGGCCTCTCTTTCCAAGGCCAGGCTTGTCCCCCACATCTGGCTGGTCTCTTCAGCAGCCGCTGCACTGGGGAAGGTGGTGTGACTTTGGTAGGTGCTCACTTCCCTTCCATCACCTGACCAGGGTTTTTGTTTGTTTGTTTGTTTTATCATTAGAAATACTTGGGTCACAGGTTCTCATGGCATCATACCTCTGGTTTTACAAGTGCATCAGCCTCTCTAGAGAGCCCTGCTTTGCAGGGAGATGGAATCATGGTGTTTTGATCGCATCCATTTCTGTTTTGTTCCTTCCACCCTAACGCAGTTGAGTTGCCAGACTTCTTACCCTTAGGTTTCTGGGAATAAGTTTGGCTTTCTCTCTGAAATGAAGAAAAAGGAATTTGATGTGTCTCTGTGACTATGTGGGGACACTTTGTGGGCTTCTCCATCCATAGAGGATGGAAATGGCATTTGCTCTGGGGAACAGCACTGCCGGCGTCTGATTCTGAGAGAATGCCGGGCCCATGGTGGACAATGGGAAGGCGTTAGCTATCTCAGCTGGTAAAGGAGGAGCCTTACTGACCTCCCTGACAAGCTGTCCCCCACCACCGCCAGTTACACTGACCTCCTACCACATGCTGGGCCAGAGTGCTAAGCAAGGCTGGGCTTAGACACACCACCGCCCTGGCTTCTTTGTTTTGTTCTGAGTGCTGCGGTTTTTCCCAGCATTGGTGTTTTAGGTGGAAATGACATGTTTTATACTTGTGGACCATTAATTAAGTTTCACGCTTTGGTGAGCAGGGTTTGGATCCAGCTCGAGTCAGTGTTCCTGTCATCGGTGGCCATGCTGGGAAAACCATCATCCCCCTGATCTCCCAGGTACAGTGTGGGTGACATTGCAGGAGGCTTTAAAATCACAAATACCTTCACAAGGCTGCTTTGAGGCACTGGGAACAGACTGGAAAGACTGCATTGGAAGGGTTCCTTGGTGATGGCAGCCACCCTGGCTGGCTAGGGCTTTTCTGACATGCCTGTAGGGCTGTGGGGATCAAAGCAGCCAGCTCAGGCACACAGGAAAACTGCTGTGGGAGACATCACTGAATTCCATAGATAAGCTCAGGCAGAGGTACCATGTTTAAAAATGAGTAGAAGCTGGATGAGGTGGCACACACCTGATGCCAGCTGCTCAAGAGGTAGAGATAAGGAGAATCAAAGCTCAAAATCAGCCCAGACAAGAAATTAGCAAGATCCTATCACAACTAGCAGGAAACAAATAGGAAGGTCATGGTCCAGGCCAGCCAGGGCATAAACTCAAGACTCTTGTTTGAAAAATGACTAAAGCAGAAAGGACTGGTAAGAGTGGTTCAAGTGCTAGAGCATCTGCTTAGCAAGTGCAAGGCCCTGAGTTCAAACCCCGGTACCACCAAAAAAAAGGAAACTTCCCGTGTCGCGGTGACAGGTGGGAGCCATTTATGAGGAGGGGGAAGGGGAGTGGCAGGATGGGGGACTTTGCACCTGGATGAGCCCAAAACTGCTCATGTGACCCATTTCTTGGCTTCCAGTGCACTCCCAAGGTGGACTTTCCCCAAGACCAATTGGCGACACTCACTGGGAGGATCCAGGAGGCCGGCACAGAGGTGGTGAAGGCTAAGGCTGGTGCAGGTGAAGTTTCAGACTGGGGGGGTGCTGGTGCCCAAGGACCTGGGAGGTTGGAGTGGCAGAGAAAGACTGCTTGTCCCTGGGCAAAGGTGGTTTTCCGTGTCATACCTGCCATCACTTAATGAGAAGGCAGCTCAGCTTGCCATGTAGGGTTGGGGGGATATTTGAGGTTGGCAAAGCTACTTCCATTACATTTGGGAACAGGTCAAATGAAGGAACACCAACCCAAATGCTCTGTGATGAGCTGCAGATGCAGAACCCCTGAGTTCTGGATGTGGTGCCCGCTGGGCTGACCCCCTTGCTCCCCTAGGCTCTGCCACCCTGTCCATGGCGTATGCTGGTGCCCGCTTCGTCTTCTCTCTTGTGGATGCTATGAACGGGAAGGAAGGAGTTGTGGAGTGCTCCTTCGTTAAGTCACAGGAGACAGACTGCGCCTACTTCTCCACGCCCTTGCTGCTGGGGGTACGTATCCTGCAGGCGGCAGGGTGTTGCTCTTCCCTGTCCCTTGGCTCTGTAGTTCAGTTTCCTTTGTGCGGTGAAGGCTCACCACAGCTGGGAGAAGCCTCATGCTGGGCGGTGCAGTCCCGTTCCCTGAGGATTTGATGGTGGGTCTAAGAGTGTTTATTGAGGAGACGCTCTGACAAGGCAGCAGGGAGAGCTTTGAACAAAGGACCTTGGGGCTCCGTGCCCTGCTTAGTTAAGGGCTCAGGTCAGTGCAGGGTGTAGTGAGAGCCACGAAGGAGGAGCACCAGGGCTGAAGCCAGCCAGAGAGCAGGAGACAGCTTTGCAGGGAAATGCCCTTGGCACTTGCACAAAGAGGGCTCCATTTGGGAAGGTGACACTGTGACAGACACCTGTTGGCTTTTCTGACAATGGGTGTCTCCTGACAGTCTGGGGTCGTGTTTTAAGGATCTCAAAACATCAGTGTGTTCGCAATAAAGGCCCTGGGTGGCCCGTGTGGGGTGAGGCACCGAACATCTGCCTGACTTCAGCAGCTGCCCACATGTGCCCAGAAATTCACTTTCTTGGTTACATTTGATGTCAGTGAATATTAAAATGTGCACCTCGAACACCTGTAATTCCAGCAGGGAGGCAGCGGCAGAAGGAGCTCAGGTTCAGAACCATCCTGGGCAACATAGACCCTGTCTCCAAAGAAAACCAAAAGCATTTCCTCAGTCCTTGGCCAACTTGGGGAAGAGACTAGATCCAAAAATAGACTGTGCCAGGGAGAGTAGTACCTTGTGCTGCTAATTCTGAGAACTTTCTGGTCCAGGTGCTGTGCTCAGTTGTCCTGAGCGCACCCACAGCCTCCTGGAGGTAGAGGAAATGTCACTGTAGATGAGGAAACACTGCAGCATGCAGTGAATGCAGTCAGGATCCCACATGGGATGGGCTGGCTGAAGCCTGAGCTCCTGGCTGACCCTGTCAAGGGTATGTGGGGTTCAGGCAGAGCACATGAAGGTACCAATTGGATTTTCTGTAACACATTCACAGAAACGTCATGTTTTTTGTTTGTTTGTTTGTTTGTTTGTTTGTTTTTAGTACTGGGATTTTAAATTAGGGCCTCACACTCATTAGGCAGGCACTCTTGAGCCATACTCACAGCCCTAAAACCCTTCTTGAGAGAGGGTCTCAATGTATGTAACCCAGGCTGGCCTGGAACTCGTGAGCACCAGTGATCTTGTGCCTCAGCCTCCCAAGTAAACCAGCTCACCTGGCTGGAGACTGTGTTTTCTAGTCTCCCTCCTCCCCTCTGTCCTCCAGAAAAAGGGCCTGGAGAAGAACCTGGGCATCGGCAAAATCAGCCCTTTCGAGGAGAAGATGATCGCCGACGCCATTCCTGAGCTGAAAGCCTCCATCAAGAAGGGAGAAGACTTCGTTAAGAGCATGAAGTGAGGCTCTGCAGTGGGCACCTTTGCTCATTGTGGCATGCTGTCACTGGAGAGCCATTTCAGAGACCTCTGTGTTGTCAGTTGCTTCCGTGATGGTTATCAGTCGTATTAGCACCACCATCCCTTCAAATTGTGGCTGGTCTGTTGGTGCAACAATAAAAGCAGACTCTGATTTTCTTTTTCAAGGTCCCCTCTATACATGTCCTTTTTCCCCATCAGCTGACCAGAGTGTCTTTCACCACTTCTCATGGCCAATCAGAACTAGATGGTACTTAAATGTTAGGGGAGGCATCAGTAGCTTCCAGAATGTCTAAGGTTTGCTTATGAAGTAGGATAAAATGCTCAAAGTCTGTTGGTCCCTGCTCCTGAGCTCTGTGTGCTCACCCATAAGTAGGTCAACCTGCCAGTTCTTAGCCTGTACTTTTGCCCTCACCTTGGTAGCCCAGCAGCCAGTGTCAGGCTAAGCAGACTGCATCATCTCACTGAGCTGCCTTGGCTGGCCTCTGTCCTCTTCCAAGTCTCATCCTCTTCTGTCAGCCCTGCTGTTCGGTGACGGATGGCCAGAGTTGTAGGAAATGGGGGTTGGGAACAGAGGCACCAGAATGCCAGCTGCTCCCTCAGAGCTGAGGACACCACCAGCTAGCCTTAGATTTTCTTAAGGGCCTAAAGAAAGGACTTGGTTGGGTTGAGGTTTAGGGAATTAAGGGGCCATTTCGTTCCCTTTAGTGTTGGGGACAGCCTGTTCTCCAGAAGCTGTGGCCCCTGGAGTGGAAACAGCTCTGTACTTGAGAAGGAACTTTTCCATCATAGAAAAGTTCTATGGGGGGGTGGGGTGTTATTCAAACAGCCTGGTTTTTTTAAACTAAAACTGAAAATGATTTTATCATAAAATGACTTTGAGATGAGGGGTAGAGCACTTGCTTGCATACACAAGGCCCTGGGCTTCATCCCCAACACTGTAAAAATAGGAGTAATATGTGCTCGTTGTGTGAAACCTAAAAAAGTCAGAAAATAAAGCAGGAAGGTAATCACTGGTGGTTTTGCATAATATTCTTGAAGTTGATATGGCCCACAGACCATTTGTAGCCTGCCCTTCTTGGTTCTTTGCTGTTGCTCTTAGGCCAGTTTCTATCTCGGGATCCCACAGCTGGCATGCTCAGCAGGGCACTCCTGGTTCATGGTTTGGCTCATGCCATGGTCCTCTGGAGCTCAGCTGGGCTTTGCCTAGTGTGCTCTGGATTCTCCATGGGCCCCCGGTAGAAACGTGTGTGGATTTCTTGGTGTCTCGGGATTCCAAAAGGCAGAAGCTGCTGTGCCCTTACCTGTGGTAAGACTTACCCAATGCCAGGGACACCAGGAAGTGTGATTCTTGGAAATCAGCCACCATGCATGACCATTTCACGTGTTTTCTTGTCATTTTTAATAGCTGGCTAATCTGAATCTAATATCTGTAACTTACTCCACAGTTGATTAATGGGGTTAGCTTTCGCTAATGACTCACGACACCGTCCTTTTGGACTCCTTGTGGTTCTGTGCCAGCTCTATCTGGGGTGCCTTTGCTGCTTCAGAGCAACCCTGAGGCAGGACCTGGGATCTGAGCCAGGCCAAGTGACATGTTGATGTAGGATGATTGGGCTCTGCTGCATACAAGAGGTACTACATAAGACCCTCACTACCCCGCAGAAGTTCAGATCTAGCAGAGGAGGAGGAAGGCCTGAAACCTAAAATACTTCTGATTGTTAAGGTTGTGGGTGGGGTGGGGGTGACCCATGCTTGAGAGACACTGAGCTGTCTCAGCGCTCTTTTTATCAAGAGCATACTCCTGCCTTTCAGGACTTGCCAACAAATTAGGTTGTGAAAATGCATGAGAAAGATGCAGATCAAGAAGCAAAATGGGGGGCTGGTGGAGTGGCTCAAGCCTGCCTAGCAAGCTTGAGGCCCTGAGTTCAACCCCAGTACTGCCAAGCAATAAAAAATCTGGGGAGACTACCCCAACTGAGTCACCCAGGAGAAGCTGATGGTTCTGGCCCTGCAGGTGGGTAGCACTGCAGCTGGTAAGAAGCAGGCTGCAATTAAGGAATGACTGATGCAGCATAGGCCAGCCTCATTCTGGGGACAGGGTGAAGTTTCAGCTTCAAAAAGGAAGGTCTCATTCTCATTCAGGGTGGGACTGAGGAGCCTGGAACAGGGCCCACACTGCATTCCCGCTGCTCTCCGAAGTTCTGCCTGCCAGCCAGGCCTGCATCCCACGCTTGGAACAATGTGGAGGCACAAAGGCTGGGGATCAGCAATGAGGTGGCAGTGAGCAGTTGGGGAGGGATGACAAACACATGGAGAAAACCCTGAGCATCTCCCAGCCCCACTGCCCCTAGAAGTCCATTTGCTTCCTGGTGTGAGTCATTCACCTTGCACCTGCTCTCAAGCTCCAATTAGCCCCTCCCAGTCTGGACAGCCATCCTCAACTTCTGACCACCTCCCTGACCAGCAAATTGTCCCTGTGATGAGAACAAAAACCAGGGGTTGAGTGTGTGATGTCCAAAGGCCTACACCAGGGAATAGAGGGGAGTGGGTCTGAGGCAGTGGAGGACCAATGAAGACAATAAGGTGGTGTAGAAAGATGCAGGGCTGCAGCTAGGCACCGGTTGCTCACCCCTGTAATCCTACCTACCTAGGAGGCAGAGATCATGAGAATCACAGTTTGAAGTCAGCCTGGCTAATAGTTTGACAGTATCTTGAAAATAACACAAAAAACAGGACAGGTGAAGTGGCTTGCCTGGCAAGCATGAGGTCCTGAGTTCAAGCCCCAATGCCACCAAAAAAAAATCCAGGGCTGCAAAAGCTACTTCTGAGCAGTCCTGGACAGCCCCACGCTGGTAATTATAAAAAAAGTGAAAGGGCAGAGGACAAGGACAGTTTAACCAAAAGAACCCTGACCTCCATTAGAGCCTGGTCCAGCCACAGACCAAGCCTCCCCTGCATTTCTCCCTGTGGCCTGAAGAGGGAGCTAGAGGCTGCTGGCTGCACGCAGCTCCCAGGCCTAGCCAGGTCACCATGGAGAGAGAGAAGCATTCCAGAGACAAATCTGGCTCCCAGGGCTGTCTGGTCTGGCTCATCCAGGTGGGAGGGGACTGCCGCCTCTAGACAGATCATGGAGGTGGAAACAAATCCAGGGAAGGCTGTGGAAGCCAGCTCCCAGGTTGGGAAGCAAGACCTGGGCCTTTATCAATGCAGGAAGTGGCAGGGGTAGACAAATTCTCACACTGCCTCCACCCTGCCAGCCTTGCCCAAAAGAAGCAAGATGGCAATGAGTTAACCCCTGGCAATCTTGGGCTCCTCCTATCTCCAGTGCCCTGGACAGTGGACAGCAAGGACAGGCCTGATACCCTAAGGGGAAGGGTGATTGATTAAACACCCTGCTGGGTAGCCAGGAGGGAGAGTCCGGGCCTGTCCTGCAGCCTCAGCAGGGCATCAGCAGCAATCTGTCTGATTTTTACAGGTTCTGAGTCTTCATCCGGCCTTTGGCCTCCTGGCACAGGCCCTGCCAGAATGGCCTCGGTCCCCTGGTACTTGCCTCTTTGGGCTCAAGATGGATCTCTTCAGTTAACCTGCTGTGAGAGGCCACAGCACCACATCTTCCCCCTGCCTGCATCCTGGCCATATGCCTGGGGCAAACTCATGACAGCACCCAGAGCCAGCCAACCAGAACCTGCCCTATTTTTCCTCCTCTTCACTCTCTTCTGTAGAGTCCAGTGGGGTCACCCTGGGGCAGGCATGACCAGATGCTGAAAGGGAGGGAGGGGCAGGTGGGCTGGTTTGGGGCCGGTTTGCACCAGCACAGCTAATAAGCAAACCCAGCTAATCACCGACTGCTGTCCAGTGTGAATCCCTCCCCAGACACCCTTCCCCAGGCTCCCCACGGTAAAGGGGTAACTCCTGGTAGCAGTATAGGATGTCCTAAAACTGTCCACACCGGGTCCAAGTGTTTCTGGTGGGTAAATATTTCAATACCACTGTGGACCAGCACTCCTCCTACAGAAAAACTGAAGTTCTGTGGGGCATGGTGACACACATCTGTAATCCCAGCTACTCAGGAGTCAGAGAGTTCCAAACCAGTGAGACCCTGTCTCAAAAACAAAATAAATCAAAAGGGTAGTAGCCAGGTACCAGTGGCTCACGCCTGTAATAACAGCTACTCAGGAGGCAGAGATCAGGAGGATCACAGTTCAAAGCCAGCCCGGGCAAATAGTTCATGAGACCCTATCTTGAAAAAAACCCTTTGCAAAAAAATGAACTGGTGGAAGGCAAAGACACCTCCAAAAAGGAGAACTATAGGCCAATCTCCTTAATGAGCATTGATGCAAAAATCCTCAACAAAATAATGGCAAGCCGAATTCAATAACACATCAAAAAGATTATTCACCACAACCAAGTAGGCTTCATCCCAGGAATGCAGGGTTGGTTCAACATACGAAAATCAATAAACGTAATAAACCACATTAACAGAAGCAAAGACAAAAACCACTTGATCATCTCAATAGATGCAGGAAAAGCCTTTGATAAAATCCAACACCATTTCATGATAAAAGCTCTAAGAAAACTAGCAATAGAAGGAAAGTACCTCAATACTATAAAAGCTATATATGACGAACCTACAGTCAGCATTATACTTAATGGAGAGAAACTGAAACCATTTCCTCTAAAATCAGGAACCAGACAAGGATGCCCACTATCTCCACTCCTATTCAACATAGTACTGGAATTCCTAGCCAGAGCAATTAGGCAAGAAGAAGGAATAAAAGGAATACAAATAGGTAAAGAAACTGTCAAAATATCCCTATTTGCAGATGACATGATCCTATACCTTAAAGACCCAAAAAACTCTACTCAGAAGCTTCTAGACATCATCAATAGCTATAGCAAGGTAGCAGGATATAAAATCAACATAGAAAAATCATTAGCATTTCTATACACTAACAATGATCAAACTGAAAAAGAATGTATGAAAACAATTCCATTTACAATAGCCTCAAAAAAAATCAAATACCTAGGTGTAAACCTAACAAAAGATGTGAAAGACCTCTACAAGGAAAACTATACACTTCTGAAGAAAGAGATTGAGGAAGACTATAGAAAGTGGAGAGATCTCCCATGCTCATGGATTGGTAGAATCAACATAGTAAAAATGTCGATACTCCCAAAGTAATCTACATGTTTAATGCAATTCCCATCAAAATTCCAATGACATTCATTAAAGAGATTGAAAAATCTACTGTGAAATTTATATGGAAACACAAGAGGCCACGAATAGCCAAGGCAATACTCAGTCAAAAGAACAATGCAGGAGGTATCACAATACCTGACTTCAAACTATATTACAAAGCAATAAAATAAAAACAGCATGGTACTGGCACAAAAACAGACATGAAGACCAGTGGAACAGAATAGAGGACCCAGATATGAAGCCACACAACTATAACCAACTTGTCTTTGACAAAGGAGCTAAAAATATACGATGGAGAAATAGCAGCCTCTTCAACAAAAACTGCTGGGAAAACTGGTTAGCAGTCTGCAAAAAACTGAAACTAGATCCATGTATATCACCCTATACCAAGATTAACTCAAAATGGATCAAGGATCTTAATATCAGACCCAAACTCTAAAGTTGATACAGGAAAGAGTAGGAAATACTCTGGAGTTAGTAGGTATAGGTAAGAACTTTCTCAATGAAACCCCAGCAGCACAGCAACTAAGAGATAGCATAGATAAATGGGACCTCATAAAACTAAAAAGCTTCTGTTCATCAAAAGAAATGGTCTCTAAACTGAAGAGAACACCCACAGAGTGGGAGAAAATATTTGCCAGCTACACATCAGACAAAGGACTGATAACCAGAATATATAGGGAACTTAAAAACTAAATTCTCCCAAAACTAATGAACCAATAAAGAAATGGGCAAGTGAACTAAACAGAACTTTCTCAAAAGAAGAAATTCAAATGGCC